AAAAACTAAATACGCCAGAGACATTAAATTTTACCTACGAGATGGTACGAGAGGAGTGTGTGGGAGCCGTTGCGAAAATTGAATTATGGGCATGGCACCACCGACTTTTTGGTGAAGTCAAATATCTCGAGATCCAACAGGGCGATTTCTAATAAATTAGTAATTGGCCTTTTTCTCATATTCCTATATTACACAAAAATGGGAGAAATCGGACTACAACTAGGCCTATCCCATATAACAAGTTTTTAAGTTTTGATTTTTTCACTTTCCAGTACATAAATCAAGAAGTAATTAATATAAGGGGGCACAATTTTGCAAAAAACCAACCAAATACAAACAAACTGTTCAAGCCCCTAGACATCGAATAGAGGACCCCAGCGTCTTTATGAGAATATACAATTGAAATTCCGAAAGAACATCCGTTTACCAAAAATGTGTTGCATCGGGTCAATATTTCCCTGAGTCCTTACATGCATAATATAAAGATTACCGAACTTCCGCGTGACTTTATGTTGCATATGTATATCGACCAATATTTGAGTTAACTCAGCGAAAATTACAGAACGTGATGTACTCCTAACAGTGTATCTTCGTGCTTAAAGAAGATAAAATTGTCGAAAAGTTGACCTAGCACCCATATATGTAGAAACATAGTATTTAGTATAATAATAATTAATGGATAAAAACGGGGTTCTAATAAACCTTATGCCGAATATGTCGGTCAGTGTATCAGTTATATATACTATTGAATATCTATTTACAAAATTGCTTGGATTCCCATCCTTTGGTTGACGTTTCACACCCTTAAGTATTTTCCTGGCATTGATTACTGCAAGTTGCAAGAGTATGAAATGTTCGGTTGTACCCGAACTTAGCGCTTCCTACTTGTTTTATTTATTTAATTTTTTGAAAAATATGGTACCACTTACATATGTATGTATATTTTGTTTGCATGCAACCATTTTGTTGTTGTATGATTAAATAGATTTAAATTTATGTTTACATGTGTATGGTTTTCTAATAAAAAATCCCAAAAATTTAAAACAAAGATTGATTTGCATCATCAATAATTTACCTCAAAAAAGAATTTGTCATTCCTTACCACTGCACTATGGTCGGAAATTTCATTTCGTTGGCAAAAAGTCAAAATGTTTGCAGTCCCGAAATATGTTGTTGTTTCTGAAATCTAGTAGTCAACGCTCCAAAACAACCAAAAATTAATTTTGTTGTTGTAATATGTAATTCACCGTTATTCGGTGAGTCATCGAAGTTGAATTTGTTTGCTTCATTTGTAAACATAATTGCGTTCGGTGTTTTATAGTGTTTACTTCAATTGCTTGTTAAAGCTGAAAACAAAGCGTGTTAAATAAAAGTTTAAATGGAACACGAAGGTGATGGTAAGTTTATTAATTTTGTAAA